AAACACTTGTATGAAGTTTCATGAAATTCCGTTGAGGAATGAAGTCGCTAGAGCGATGACAAAGAGTGTGACAAACGTACAAACGTACGGGCGGAATCCTATATCCCCTCGAACTGTCGTTGCGAGGGGATAATAACGGCGGGGAACCCTTATGTTATGTACTTACATTTGTAAGTTAGAACAGCTGGTCTCGCAGATGCTTAAACTATGTACACAATATATATACAGTTATACCACAGTATTGTATTGTCTCGGTATGGCTACGAATGCATTCCAGGTCAGGTAATAGAGCATCAAATGTATTAAATTCAAATATATCACCACTTCATGACAATCACGGATTCATATGGGTACAATGTTATTAAAATAACATTCATACAATGCATGCAAGCTGAACTTGACAAATCATTTGTTTAAAATTCATCATTTCCATGAAATTATCCAAATAAATAAGATCTTTATGTCAAAATAAACTTCAGGTTTGATTTAGTATAGTTTAATGTACATTTAAAGACGGCCTCCCCATATGCTAGATGCATGCGTGTGGTGAGTTCGTGCATAATTAATTTGTGTTTTGGGAGTCTGTGGTATGTTCATCAGTTTGTCTCCTTGTGATAGCTCAGGACTGATGCTGACTTTATAGTGTCATTTCACTGGAGCATACTGCTGAAGACACATCTTATTTTACGATCTAATCTCGTTATCTCACCATCTTCAATAGCCAATGGTTCATAATTTAAATTTGTACTATTCAACCTTGGCAGATTTAGCCTTGTGTTTAATTTCCCTCCCCTGCCACCTAGCAGAGACACTTTACTAGCAAAACTTAAAACTTTCCAGTTTATTTCAGCACTGGTCGCCTATGTATTTCCCTTGGTTATCATTTACAGTTAGAATATGGCCAATTATCTCTACCAACTGATCAAATACAGAAAATGTTTCTTTAAGTATTGTCCTTTGTTTTTTGACATAAATCATGACATAGTCGACAAGGCAATTTGGTACTGGGTACCGCCATTATTATTTACATGCACAGGGACTTGGTATTAATGTCTAACCCTCAGTTCACATATGTGTATTATATAATGTATGATATAAACAAAAAGTGTGGACCATAGGATGGTAATTCGTGCCAAGTCCCTGTGCCACGTTCAGTAATTTGAAAGCTTAGAGAACAAGGCTAAATCCGCTAAGGTTGAATACATGAATATGTGAATTACAAAATGAACGCCTGGCTAGCAAAGAGGAGATGTTACATGCTGGACAGAAAATGACAACAAAAACAGGCTGAAAACATGTATGGAATGTGTTTTTCTTAAGAGAGGCTGTATAAACACATTATGAATATGTAAAATTATGATGGAAGTCCATTTTACTCGAATTACCTGACGTTATTTTCAATAATTTTCAATTAATAGGAATCAGTTTGCTTTTTGGGTTTTATAAATCCTCGCAACCACTTTTAAGACAAATGTATAAGAAAGGTCTGCCAAATATCTAATTCTTTGACAACTTTCAACAAATATACAGCAGCTAGGAATTGAGCTTTCTATATCCACTGCACTATACATACACTTCATATTATTTGTTGACATTTTTCTGCTACAGTACATGGAGTTTCCTCAAAAGATACTGATAACCGAAAAAGAGTCTGAAACCTTAATCATATCTTTTAGAATACTGTTTAAAAAAGGGTTATACCGGTACAGTACATTTCACCTGATATCACGTCTGTTAATGTCACTTTTTGGTTATTATCATGTATTATTGATGCTCATGTATCTCTTCGCTTCACTAAACATCATCAACAACAACATTTAAACCCTAAATCTGTGATTAAAAGGATTGTAAAAAAAAAAAATATGTGTTCCGTAAATGTTAAAATATTTCTGTTCAACATTCATATTTACAGTGGTGTTCAAATCCACTAATACATAAGTTAACATAAAATTGTACTGCAGTATTTTTTGGTCTGATTTTTGACAGCTAAATAAGTCTCATCAAGGGTCATTGACCTGTCAGAAGTTGAAGTAGCCAAAGTTATTTGACTTTGGTGAAGAAGCATCCTAAAAATAGAAGAAAGTAAGGGCTGGATTTTCACGAACTTGAAGAGTTGTGCCCCTTTGTTTGTTTTCCTATACATCTTATTCTGGCAGTTTATCATTCATATTTTTATTTTTCCATTTGTTATGCACTTCATATACATCTGATGAGAATGGGAGATATTTAAAAATGCACAAAATTCACCAAAAAAGCTGAAAGTCACAAAAGGTGATACTTTACACCATGCAGGCCAGGTTTGAACATTTTACTGTAATGTTTGTTTTACTTTCCATGTGGGGAGGATTTTGAATGCATCTCGACTGTTATATCAATCAATTAATTTTCATTTAGATGGTGTCCCTGAGAATTATTTCTTATATAATTTAAAATTTGTTTCAAGTGATACTCATACTCTCTGTTTTAAACTAGGAACACTTGCTCTAAGTATTTGTGCAGATATGATTGATGGTCTTCCTTTTGATAATATTCCTGTGAGTTGTGTCCCGCACATGATTTCCTCACATTCCTTTCTGTTATACATCGGATATATAGTTTGTTACTTTGATAAGTTCCAAGTTTCCTTTTAGATAAAATATGTCATGTTTAGGTGATTTCTGAGAATTAGTGGTTTTGCAAAATTTGCTTGTTGTTTTGCAAAGTACCAATATTTTTATGTTTATTACATATATAGGGTGCTCCCATAGCTACCACTTTCTTTGAAATGTAGATTTTCTTCCCGTTGTTTTTGGAAAAAAATATCCAGAAATTTTAGATAGTTTTGAAGTTTTGCTTAAAACTTACCATACTGACAATGTCAGACAATTTCAGACATGCGAAACATATAATAATGTGTAATTCTTCTTGAAATTGGTGTACAGATAGATCTTGAATTGACAGATCTGTCAGATCAGCACAAATTACTTGAATTGGAGTCTACATGAAGAGTTATGTCCCTTCACTTTCTTTTCAAGATTACATGATTCAAACAATCTTCTACTTGAGTCATCGAATCTGTCAAAATCTGTCAAACCATAATTTAATTTACATACAATGTACATAGGAGGGGGGAGGGGGGGCTAAAAGTTGGCCCCCTGAAGCTGAAGAATCGGGGATTTTCTTTCATGTCTACTACTTGGGGGACATTGAACAGACCAAAATAGATCTTCTGCCCCCATTGCAACACACTTGGGATCTTAAATCTTTCCTTTCTGTCTTCACTGTTCTGCCTTTCTTTGTCGTGTCGCCTGAGAAGCATGGCGAACAATTAAGGATCACTCTGTCCGTTGTCGTTGGCAGGGGCAGTCAAATTTAAGTTTCCCAGACTTTTTTTCGTCACCATTTACCATATCAATTTGTAACTTTGTGTGTGGCTTAATCATAATAGATTACAGATCAAGATGGAACCACGTGCCAATGTTTTATTTTTTTTACTGGAGTTACATGTATGCATGGCCCTTTCTTTGCACATTGGAAGTTCTCATAATTAACTGTGTGTCATACTTTGTTCGTTACCACTTGCCACTTTAATAGTATATCCAGTAATTTTATAAAAAAAAACCTTGCTTTGCAACATGTATAGCTAACCACAGTTTCTTTTAAATCTTCAATAAACATAATTATGGAGAATAGTCACGGCGGCATTTAAAATAAATATATAAATCTTATTACCGGTTCGCTTGTAATAATAATAATAATAAGAAACGGAGTAAAAACAAAAAGTCCCCAAAAAAGTACAATTCTGAACCAAATTGCAGTTTTAAATAATGTAGGTTAATTGTTCAAAAGTAGGTCACATTGACCGAATTAGGTAAAACAATAATTTTGAGTTCATTTCTGAACCCAATGACAATTTTGAGTAATGTAGGGTAATATTTTAAAAGTAGGTCAAATTAACTTAATTTAGGTCAACAGAATGTGCATATTTCTGAACCCCATGATAATGTCAGTTAGTGTATTTCAAATACTGAATAGTAGGTCACACTGACCTGATTTGGTAGGACGATGGACGCATAGGTACATGATATCGTTTGGTACTTCAGACAAAGTAAGGGTCCGTTTTCAACGGGTCAATTTTTAACGGCTTACAAGTGGAAATTGACCTCTTATGGGGTCAATTTTCAACGGGAGGGTCAGTTTTCAACGGCTCCCCGGTTCTATTTTCAACGTTACACCGACCTGTGGACAGAGCCCATTGCCTTTACCACATAGCCGATTTAACCACAAAGACCAAATGTGAGTTATTGTCAAACGAGGCGTTTGAAAACGAAAGGGTTTTCAAGCGTTACAGAGAAGATATATAAAATGTTGCAATCCCGTTGGCTGTTATTTTTGTAATTCTCTATATAGATGAACGAGACGTGATGATCTAAACCCTTAAAACGTGTAGAATTACTCTGAACGCCTCAATTTAGGTTCAAATATAGCTGTAACAAGTACTGTGTGAGTGATACGAGATTCTAGGCGTTCCCTGGAGCAACGGAAATACTCAGAGAGTCTTGGTTTGGTTTAACGTCCTATTAACAGTTAAGGCCATTTAGGGACGTGTCTCCATGTGTGTAATGTACTCGTGCTCCCATGTGTGTATGTGTTATAGAGAGGGTATTTGAGTTTATTTGCCCCATTGCAAAAGCGCGGATTTGGTGAATACATAAAATGCTAAAACGAAAATATTTTTCCGAATTCCCCATTTACAGGCAAAACTGGTGAGCCAAAACAGAAACGCCCCGGACTTTTTGCCCTTATGCAAATAAATCTGCACACAGATATTGAAATATATTAAAGGGACACACTTTTTTTCAAAAGTTAAATACGTGTGCATTTCATTCATTCAGTTCTTCAGTAATTAACCGGATCTGATTTTAGATAGGAACTGCAAACGTAATCAAACACTTGTTGCTGATTGGCTGATTTAGTTGTGCGAGTACTTTACACCCACTGACTGAAACTACATACAACAAGTAAATTCTTCTAAAAATACAAACAGCGAATTATATGACGTATCGATCGACTTCTAGGGACGTCACCCTCTTTCGTTAGTGATATATTAATTGGTTAACGATAAAATGGGAAGTTTACCAACACCAGGAGAATCAGAACGGATAAGTGTATCTTTGCCACCTAGTGGAAATTCCAGGGATTTTCTGATTAATCCAGTTCGATTCGCTGTGTTCAATCCATTTGACCCAAACGGGAGAAGCAAATTGAAGACGAACATCAACGAAAACCTGACTTTTTTCCAAACCAACTATTATCTGACGATCCTGTATACGTATTGCTTGGCCATTTTGTAAGTAAAATTCAAAAGTGATAACGAAAAGATACCAAATCACAAGTTCATAGTCAATGTGAAATGTATAATTATTCATGTAAATTGTTTATAGCCCTACACTTAAGTAAACCAAACATTTCTTTAGAACAGTAATTAATCCAATAAGGTTTTCTTTATTTAATATTTATTTACAATTAAAAGCTACAGGTTTGGAAAGATGTACACTATTTTCATTTTCACTTTGGTCGTAAAACCAACGACCTATACAGTTTACATGTCAAGTAAGTCAGAAAAAATCTCTTTTATTAACTTTTGAAAAATAATTTCATATAGTTGTTAAACCTGTATAAACATAAACTTTATAACTAATGCGTTAGATGATATGTGTTTATGGTGGCGTGACCGAGTTTCTTTTATACCGTGAATAAAACCACAAAGGTTTTGCAATGGTGTAATTCACAAGGCCTCGCCAATCTCTGTCATCTTAACAAAGGATTTCTGTGCTGTTATACTCGTCAGCTTTGTATGTTTGATATAGTGACGCAATACACAACAATACAGTATATATATATATTTCCTGTATCAACTGGCTTCGTTCTTTTAATAATTGTCTTCAATAAAGCTAATCTGATTATCGACTGGTTAAGCCTCCCATTACAAATGTAATGGATAAAGGGAATTTCAGGACGTACAGCCATATGTGCTTGTATGTTATCTGGTCTAAACTAGGAATTGTTTCGCGTCATTCATGCATATAACTGTTGAGAATGGATTTTAAAAAGAACATGCACTCTATACCTGTGTATTAACATATCATTGTACATAATATATAAATTCATTCTCGGATAGAGTCGATCGCTGAATGTTTCAGTTACGATTGATTGCCAGCCATATATTTGTGATTTACGAGAAATGAAATGAAAATTAATTTTCGGAAAATCATATGGTCCGATAACGTCAATATGCTATACATTTCTAGGCACAGAAATGTTTAGTATAAATGGATTTTTTGATAAACAAACGACTAAACTTTCTTAATTTTTTCTTAAAATGAAGAAACATATCTTAAATCTTTCATAAACTAACTTACATTCTGAGGTGCTCCAATTTAAGTAATCGGCATGCTAAAAGTACCAAGTAAACATGGACCAACTAAATGAGCCCTATGAATAGACACACATGCTGGTAATACCAAATTTGTATATATGACGAAAGCTAAAGGCATTGTAAGATTCATTATAGTAACAAATTTGGTATCCAGAAACGAAACATGTTTTTTTTTTTTTTTTAGGAAATGTTCCATTTTGGGTCAAATTAATGCCAAATACACAGAAGGACCTATAATAAGAAATGTTCTGTGCACCTGTTATAACACTAAGGGAGTCATCCTTACCGTACCAATGGATAAAAACACACACCAAAGCAAAGCAACACAAATTGAACTCTGGTCAAAAACATAAATACATACAACTAGAAATTGTTGGCTAACAATTTGACGGGCTATTTAACGTTAAGATTGATTTATTCTTTGATCACAAACTTATTAGACCTTTGACATTAAAATGTTTCCTAAGAAAATCATTTGCATTATTGGTCTACATAACATACCCAAAGATGATATCGATTGTTGCTTTTAGTAAACAAGTCATTTCAATTAAGAAAAAAAAGAATATGACGTCATGGTGGCCATCTTGGATTTGGGATGAAAAAGTTATGAAAAATTTGGTAGGTAGTCTGGGCAAACATAAATACCTATACTGGATGAAATCTGCGTAGCAGAACTTCAGAATAAAATGGTTTTAGCATATTGTCGGCTTTCCAAAAAGATAAAAGGAAAAAATCAAAGTGTCGTAGGATGTTAAAGACGAACGTTTCCGACAAACTGAAATTATCAATCGCATTGGGATGGAATTCCCGACCCACTACAGAAAGAATTTTCCTATGAGAAAAAGTTGGGCCCGAAGAATCAATATCTACAAATGCGGATGTTGACATCCAGAAAATATGTAGGTAGCCAATATTTAGCCATATTTAATTAATTGTTATACCATGAAAGGCAGTGAAATGAAGTTATAATGCTCGAGCATAATTTCCTCAAGTAGACTGAAGCCTAGTCCGAATTATTCTGACGTTTTATCGACCTTTTTTTTTATATCGGTCTGGCGTTAATCGACGCCAGACCGATATAAAAAAAGTCGATAAAACGTCAGAATAATTCGGACTAACTGAAGCCTGGCTGTAGAATACCATGGTTAAGTAGTCTACAGTACAATTGGACGCATCTCTACAGATAATTGTCATGCTTACAATAGACTCTGTAGTTAGCAAATCAACTGATGCTCATGCAGTGCATAAGCAGACGAGATGGATCTGTTATTACTGAAGTCAATAAACAAGTTAAAACTATTGATTTTAATATGGTCACGTTGTCGTAACGTTTCGTAGTGACGTGGCTTTCTATCGTCATACTGAAGGTAACTGTCAGTACGTGAAGCTGTCGTATCTTTAATTTCAATATAATGAGGATTAATGAGGAATTCCCGCTATGCAGTTACGAAACATTCTACCATTTCCTCTAAATGTGAGAATATAGAAGCAGGCAAATAGCAACCAGTGAAATTGAAAGCAAGTTTGAAGCTTATGTTAATTACCACATATATATCGTCATTTTTTACAGGACTTTTATAGTGGCCGAGTTTGTCGGAGGAGTCATTGCCTGTATCTTAACAACGAGCCTGATTTTGACCATTGTATACTTGAGCGGTACAGGTCGACTGGAAATATCCCTCAACTGTGGACTCCAACACTTCCTGACACCTGCTTGTGTTGCAGCTGTCTTGACGGGTGTTTTGCTAACATGTGTCACCCACATGTATGCATTTTTCCTACTGTCCCTCGGGATAGTTATCTCGATGTTTCGTAAGTATGCCATTTTGATTACTATGCATGGGTTCACGTATGTGAAAGAAAAATAAACGTATGTTTACTAATAGAACAAAGAACGTTAGAAGTGTTTCCAAATGCATTGTCTAGCGTAAGATAGAATAAATGTATTCTTTCAATGTCCAGAAATGTACGGTACACATTTCATATAACAACATTGTATCATTTGGTGAGCTGTTTTGCACAAAACGGTTATAAAATGTCAGTTTCGTATCCCCTGGTTTTTTTTTACCTGTGATAACTGTGAGTTTTATAAGACTCTTTCATGCTCAGGGGTGTAGGATAGGGAAATTCCACCCTCGGGATTTTCAAATTTGGTAAAACCCGAGGCTTTATCCTACACCCCTGAGCATGAAAGAGTATTTTTCTCTCATTCCCACCATCAGAATAAGCTCAGAAAGAATGAAAATGTGTTTGGACTGGCCAACATTTTGAAAATATCAATCCCTCCCCTGAGCTTTTTAGACGAAAACGAAACAGCCAGCCGGATTTAGCATATCCCATATTGGCAAATAATTTTGCGCAGGAAAATGAATATCATCTTTCTAACGTGTGCGGTTTATATAATGTAAAAGGTTTTAAATTTCATCACGTCGCCTTTTCCGCATTGCGGCATCGGAGAGTTCCAAATTCGTGACGTGACATCATTGTTGAGCAATTGTGACGTCATGTCACGCGAAATGGGGTGTAAGATAGAAAGGGCCGGTTTCCAAAACGGCCCCTTCTCTGATTCAAATTTCCTGTTGGTGGTGCATTGCCCATGCCGTTGTGGTCACAAATCTATAAAGTATAAAGATTTAGGTCACTTGGTTTGTTTTTTATGGCTCCTCAAAGTTGTACCTTTCAGAAGCTGTCTAAGTGTTGATAAAATGTGCATGTTATGTAAAATATTAATGAAAATCTAATCAAATGATGGTCACCGTAAAGAATACATTCATGGCATGATTGTGACAAAAAATCATGTTTCCATCGCGCCATTTGGCTGTTTTATGGAAGAAACAATCTCAAAAATGCCATTTTCGATGATAACATTTTAGACACAAAAACTGTGTTTTTTAGAGAATACACCCTTTTATGGGCGTTGGATGCAAACCAATTTTTATCCTATTAAACAGTACGTAATATGCTATTGATGAGAGGAAAAATCATCAAAATGTAAGTGGTGGAACATTTTCAAATGTTGGGTTGAATTAGCCTATGGTTGAATTGCCGATTTTCGACTTTCTTTAGATAATTAACAAAAAAACGAGAGTATTTGCTCGGTATGTTGAGAATATGTACACAGATATGAAAAAAAGTGAGAGAAACACTTTTTCATAAAAAAAATCCAAGATGGCTACTTCACAAGTCCCCGTGGTTGAAGACATTGGCTGACAAATAGACAGAACAACAAACAAAACGTGTTCCTTATGATTTTGGTTGGTTTTCGCATTTACGGGAGTGTTCATAGCTACGGGCGATTGTATAATACCTATATTTATAAGTTTGGTTAGTCACATGGTAACGGGGATCTTTCATATCGAGCCCCAAACATACTTTCGACATATGCACTCCGTTGCCGCATGGAAAACTATTTCAAGTTTTGTCGGAATTTCTTTACCTGTGGTTGTAATGGTCGAGGGTTTTCCAGCGTCCTGTAATACCCAAGGTAGTACAAGATACTGGAGATGTGCGCACACATTCCCATCGTTCTCTCTCCAACTGGGCACTGGCAGTAGTAGTCCTTTATTGGGGCCTCAACATCGGGTGAAACGGTGAACCGTATCCAAACGTTATATTTCGTTTGGCTTTTGTGTCGAGAATGTATTTGACATCGGAGAAGGTCTGGGGAGTGCTGGTAAAGCCACACCTCATAGTCTCCGTCATCACTTAAATGTTCGGCGATGTAACCAGGAGCCAGAGATATCTGATACGTTCCACACGTAATGGTTCTCAAGTAATCAAGATCGAGACGGGGAAACAGTACGGAAGATGCATCCATCTTGACAAACTCGGACCTTGCCCGTCTAGATAGATCCGGATCTGTCTTGACTCTCTGAGCTAAACCATTCGGTGTTGTCAAACGGTCCTTCATACGTTCAGCCATTAGCCTATCTTTGGCATCTCTCTCTGGAGATCTCTGGTAGATCGGTCCTCTAATACCATTCAGACAGGCTGTGACGGTTCGAAGCAAAGCCTCGATGACATTGATAAAGCTGTTAGACACCAATTGCGTTCGGAAGAACGTCCAGTGTTTCAGACGACCATGATAGGATTCCACAATCCACCTCGATTTGGTGATAGTTCTGTCAAGATTTGCTTGGACGTCAGAATGTTGACTTTGACCGGGTTTCAGGTATGACGGCATGCTAGCATTGAGGCCAGAGGCTTCGAGAACTGGTAGGACATCTCTAAAACCTCGGTCAACGACAACGTTGTCGTCTGGTTGTAGCCAAGTAACTAGCTTGTCCATGACTTTTTTTGTAATTGTAGCATCATTTTCGCTGCCAGTGAATGGTCCTACTGTGTCCAGAATGTAGCCATCTGGTAAGGCGATGCTCATGAATTTGAGATAGTTTCTCTTCTTCTGGCCACAGTAGGACATTCTCTGGAGCTTGTGGTCGGAGCTTTTCTGGATATAAATATAGGTGCCATCTAATATGGCAGTGGCTTTATCTCCAAAAAATGCTTCTGAAAAGACAGTATTGTGCCCGAGCAACTGTTCTCTTGTCAAGTGATCCGGACCTAGAAATTGTGGGACTATCGATGTGTCTAATGCCTGTACTATGGAGTGGAAAGTTTTGGACACACTTGACTTGGAAATTCCAAAAAGAGAAGAACACTGACTCCAGGAAATGTCGGTTTTCAGTTTTACCCAGAACAGTAATAGAGCATCGTGTGTAGTCTTGGTATATATACCAGATGAAAGATATGGGGAACAGTGCGAGTGGATTTCGAGGAACTGATCTTTGGACCAACCTGTCCAGGCCATGCATGCCGAGTCATCAAGAGAAGAAAAGCTTATTGTAAACGCAGACTGGTTCTGTGAAAGGACGTGCGACACCTCTAGGAGGTCATTAATGATTTCGGACGATTTTGATGGTAACTGAGATTCCAAGGAACCTCTACCATCAAGGACAACCTCTGTAGACGGATCTAAGTCGTTACCAATAAGGTGAATGGAGCAGACGCGGGATGAGGTGGGACACCACAGTTTGTGTGAATAGATCAGGTGATGTCTTGCACGTTTTGGTAAGACTGATGATTTTGTTCCATTTCTTGCAAAGGTAACAAGACAGAGACAGCATTTTTTGTGTGAAGATGATCCATTCAAAAGATCATGAAGGGTCAGCAACGGCAGGATATGGGACGGGGAGTCGTCTTCTTCCTCTATTTCCTGGTTCTGCTCGGGTTCAGGTTCAGGCTGATTTTTGTTCCGAAGATACTTCATGTAGCACTTCTGGCAAATAAGTGCTTGTTCCTTTGCTGACATCAATCCTTGTTGCACCAGCGTATCTAGGAGCCATTTATATTGTGGACTATTTACATTGCGTGCACTTCTGTTCTTATTGCCACTACGTTTCTTGAAGTATACTTGACACCCTTCTCCAACACATTTACCCTCCATCTTGAAACAATAACGATTGGTTTATGAAGCGTCGATAAAGTAACAAAATAGCAAGCCACCGATGATTGCTGTAAACAGCTAATACTTAGTAGTTTGGTACAATTATGCGAAAATGTGTGATAAATAACGAACAACTAATTACACAAAATAACAAGACAATATAATAAATCACATTCAATACCTCCAAGAAGCGCAGAATTGATTGATTACTTAGAACAAAATAAAGTATTTCATATGGATAATCTATCTATTCGATGTGGCGTGGTCGGCAGGCACAAAGAAAGTGAGACAAGTCAGGGTCCCAACCCTGACAGAGCCACAACGCTTTGGAGATGGGACAATAAAACAAGGAAAGTGAGACAAGAATAGCTAGCGTCGAGTCAATGATTCCGTAAACGTATAGACAAAGACAAGAAGATACGGATAAATGTACAAGGCCACACGATCAGAAAATTCAGAAGAGGACAACTTGAGATAGAACAGTATTCATGTATCAGGGTGTCCTCAGTGTAAATCTTTATATCGAAACTATTTATTTCGTCGTTACACATCATAAAACTGTCATGAAAATATCCGCTCTGATATTCAATATAAAAGTTTGTATATAATAAGCTATATAATAGGGTTTCAGACAAGGTTGTTACTCATTTCCCCNTTTTTTTATGTTTTATGAATAAACACGATGTTTTGGAAATATTTATCAAAAGAAATTTATACTATGTTGCGAATTACAATTTCGAGATAACCTTCTTTTATTTACGAACTTATGTCTTTGATGCTGAAATTGACAACTTTATAAAAATACATTTTCACTGAAATTATGAAATCTGGGTGTCGGAAAGGTGTAAAATTATTCTTCGGAAAAGAAAAAAACAGTAGTTGAGCTAGATAAGAAATTATACGGGGGCAGGCTCCTATGGAGAATTAACATTACTGGAAACAGGCCCTTTCCTACAACCCTTTCTTACCCTGGACAGCTCTATCTCACATACTTCACGGTGATCCCGTTGTTGCTAGGGAAAATATAACTCTATCTTACACGGGGTAGGGAAAGACAGCTGGCACGCGCTATGACGTCATAATAATGGATTGTCGACGTGACGTCATTTTATTGTTTCCGTGACGTCATACAATTGTTGTGATTGGGGAATCATCCGTCTCAACCCTAGGGCTTTGGGGTTTGCCGCAAGAATAAGTCGATGTTTATTCCGACTGGAATTTGTTTATTTGTATGTATGTGAGAAAATTAATCAAAGATGGGTCTGTTCCATAGACAGGGATAGCCCAACCCTCGTGTAAGAGTTTGGCTGGCCAGCATTCGGCAAGCCTCGTGCTGACCAGCCAAACTCTTACATTTGGGTTGAGATATCCCTGTCCACGGAACAGCCCATGTAAGATTCTATTAATCTTATACAAAAGGGAAATGAGAGAAAATACTCATATGATTTTCAATTTGACTCATGGAATGCTTGAAAATTGCTGAGAATAAATTTACATAGAATGATAGTTTATAGGACATGACAATGTGAGAAAGGTATGTAAAACACTCTTTATAAATGATAAAAATGTAGCTATATTTATATCTAAACGATTATAATGGTATGGATACAGCTATTAAAAACTAGTGTTGTCTATTTCGATATATGTACCTTATATGATGACAGCATGAAAAACAAAACATATCAAAATATTGCATTGTTTCTGCGACATGGCTATTTCACTTCCAATGCCTTAATACACATGGGCTATATTAATGTTAAAATCATCACAGTTCATTTTTATATAGAATAGTTCAGTCACCTTTCAGATATTTGCAGTACAATAAATTGATATGCAGCATCACATGCTCTCCAATTGGATATAAACAATTACATTAAATATCAACCGCGCCTTTTCAGCCATGGAAAGGTTACATATTGTTTCTAGTTTGAGTGACTGCTAGTTACAATTCATTTTTCTAGATATTAAATCCTGTGCAAACTAATAGGTAAATTGTTATTGAACAGTATGTACTCAGATATGTTGTTTTGATTTTGACAGCTGTGCTGCTGCATGCTTCTCTACGAGTAGCGAATACAAAGAACAATGTGACGGTGAAAGTGGAATACTCTGATTTAACTACAGTCCTCTCTGAATTAAGCAAAGGAATCAGCAAAAAAGTACTGGTAATGTGGACAGTGACGGGCATTGCTGCCTTGTACTGCATGTACAATTCATATACGTGGTTCATGCTTAGTCTGGCTTTTATACTTATATTAGTAGATCATCTTTATGTATCCTCTATGTTGTGATATAACAAAAAAACGGCGGTCTTTTCATCAATATTACAGGCCTCAGACCACAGAAAACTCTTCCAGTTCGTAGTGCTTTTCTCAATTTTTAGAGTTGTATTTTAATGATCTTTATTTCTTTCGTACGAATGAAATTAAATACTATGGGTCAAGAAAATTTAATTTCATAATTTGTCAGCTTCGAAATCATGCTAGCAACCTAAATAGTGACCTGTATATGGATCATTTGAACACAGCAATTAGATGTGGACATGAAAATGAATGCCCACTCTATGATAACATGTTAATTCTTGGTAACTTATCCTACATCCAGTGCGTGTATGGCCAATGTGTTTATACGTAGGGACTTTTGGGCCTGTATCCCTTGGATTTTATGTAGGATGAGCTGTCAACAAATATCTAAAACATCAACAAAAAATGATTGAATAATAGTTGAAAAATATCTATTTCACAAGCTAAATTGAGTTTATTTCCCCTACACTATTTATTTGGATTGTTATGACAGAATATATGTTATGTTTGTAAATAAGTTTGGAAAAGACTTAAATAGGCCTAGCATGTTGTCCAAACCAATTGACATATATAAAGTCAATTACATCTGTTGAAATTGAAAATGAAATTAAACTATAGGTCCTCTGCGCCATACAGAAAATGACGCCTGGTCTTTTTTCATGTATCTAACGTGCTTGGTTAGTTTGTGTGAAAGCCATATTGGCATCTCAGCACGAATTTCTTCAGGGTGATATCACAGTAAAACGTTATTTTGACAGAATTTACATTGTAAAGAAAACGCCGGCCATTTTTATTTATCTTTTCTTTGGTAAGAACATATTATAAATTAGTAGTTGTATGAGGCCTTTAAAGTACGCGCCTTTTCGAGGTAGATAATCTTCATTGAGTCTAAAAATAGAAACATAGTTACTTGCTTACCGGCCCTTTGTTATTGTATATATTTAATCTATGTGTAGATGACATTTCAAGTAGGTGTGGATATGTTGATTTTCAACTTACAGATGTCTGGATTTTAGAAACGTATACCCAAAAATGGTTTGTTTCGATGATGATTTCATCCACGGCTCAACAAGGCAAATTTACTGATATAGTTGTTTGTTTCACATTCCTACGTTGTAAGGTAGGATTATTGCATGTGTTTGTTTGTATATTAGTGCCCATATTTCATCCTTAAATTTTGACATTTTCAAGTACAAACCTTATATTAACCAGTCTAGTTTTCTCAAAACATCTCTACATTTGCTTTACAATCAGGTTTTTTACACAATGTTACAAATGGCTGTACACGGTTACTTGTGGTTACCAATGACAATAATTTGCATGAAGGAAACTATGAACGAAAAGTGGTGAAAGGTTAACCAGTGGCAACAATTAGCATTCATTGCTACCACTTGGTAGTCAACAGCTGGGTATTAAAGTGAAATTTGTACGATAGCCGATATCGGCCATGTCAAAATACACTTAAGCAACTCAATTTTGTCAGAGGTTACTTGACATATGTTGTCAGCATCAACAAAAGCAGTTGTGACAAAAAAATGGTCAAATTATGCTTTGCTTTCGGTGGTTTTTGAAAAGTGTTGGCATTTGCAGTTGTGCCAACCATTTGAGACCTTATCGACGTGAATCATAGGATATGTATAGAACAGTGCATATTATTGGGGCAAACACAGTAGCATACATTCTAGAATTCTCAAATAAATCATATCGGGGACTGTTGCTTTAGATGGATCAATGTGTTTAAATCTTCTTCTGCTTCAGTAGTGTGTACAGTAACGGGACACCCAATTGGGATGTTAAGGGCGAAGACAGAGCGGTTCTGAAGGTTGTATCTGCAAGCCTTGTGCTTTTGGTTTTCTGATGATTCTAAAGCATTTCTTACCAATGCAAATAGCCCGAATTTCGGATATTGATTTGCTCTCATGTGAAAAAAACCATTTTACTAAATTGCAACGGTGAGATTGTTCAGATTGTTATCATCAAATTAATACATAAAGAATATAGTTGCACATATTTGTACATTTCTACAACATATTTGAAGATATCTTCAATTAAATCGAACCTATTTTTAATTATTTGCGCTTCTCTAGTAAATTAAATATATGAACAATTGTTTTCTTATGGTATTTTGTGTCCTTACATACATATCAATAAATAAAGTGCAGTAGAGGGTGTCACATATTAATCAACACAAACATACACACAATAGAAAAATTGTGTTGATTAGATAAATAGCCAGCCAGTCATCTCGGCACTTAAATGAGACATTCTCCTGATCCACACATAATGTAAAATACTTTAATTATTTATATTTATTGAAATTCACATAGCGCATAAACATCAAATCACAACATGATTACATCAATGCCACGAATTGCTTCAATACATTCATGGAACATTTTTGATTCATAACTTAGTCACATTAGTTATAGATATATAAGCTTTTTGTTATATTTGTGGAAAGGTTTTTCTTTGCTGTAAAAGTAGTACACACCACTGGCTACAGTTGGTTGAATCTATTAATTTCGTAAAATTTAAAAAAGTTGTATCACTGTCCATTATGTAAACATATGGATTTTTCTTGGGCAGACATGGAACATCTTATTGTATATCATTGTATAGTTGACAGCATATTAGATTGCACCTCCTGATGATTGAAGATTGCAAGTCTTTCCTCATGACGTCCTGTCGGGGGCCTGGACTATCGTCCTGTCCCTACAGCCAGTGGTAGACACCTGGAGTGAAACATTGCAAAGTACCGTCTATGAGATCTTGGTATGTTCTTTTACGGTAGCTCTCCACTTCAATGTTGTCTTGTAATGATGTTGGAGAACTATGCCCTGTTCTGAGTCGTGCATTAAACATTACACTATATTTTAGATGGTACTGATATAAGACACATACTATTTTTCATTCTGAACCCGTTTGTGTATTTGATTTATTACAACCTTGTTGCGTTCTATACATTGTAGGTACTCTACTTAGTTCAAAATCGAAAGTACAATGGCAGTAATACCTACATGCATATTTGGTGTTGAGGGTTTCTCCAGATCATGAGATGCCAGCGGAGGTTCAACGGATAGAAATGATGCCAATTTGGGCTTTCAGGTAGCTACCACCGATAATTAGTTTTTACATTACGATACCCTGGGGTCATGCCGTCATGACGTATCATGAAATTAAGGTCAGTTTGGAGGCCTTCCTGAGATAATTAGTGGTCTCATTTCGACAAATCTATTTGTTATTTTTTAATCGTTTCTTCAAACTAGGCTGTCATGTAAAACTGACCTAAATGAAAATCGCACATAATTGATAAAAAAAGTCGCAGTAACCTTCCTCAAAAGTGACTAACAACAAAAAAAAACAAGGAGGAAAAGTTGGCATCTAATTATGTTTTCTTTGTGTACTAGTAATGAACTATGGTGCCTCTTAGATAATTCAATTAGATTGTTCGAAGAATGTGAATGTGATCCGTGAAAGTTTACATAAATGGTAGTGTATAATATTGTGAATATATTAAAGAAAATATTTAACCAACATAGGATTATATGCAAATCAAATCCATGGAGCCTTGATCTCAAGTACATTGGCATCGAGAAAATCATAACTGCCAATGCATTGGAATATGCATGGAGAATATAAATTAAGACAGGGAGGACACAAACTAAAGAAAATATGAATCTTCATCTTGGATATTAAAAATAATGCATGTGATTCTAACCTTAAAGACTAAAGAATGGCATTGGCATATATCCTTTTGCACAATTAAAGACAGAAGGCTAGTAATCAAACGATTTAGTATACTAGTTTCTGAGATATTACCATACATATCACGAGTAGTATTATAAGTACGTAAACATTCTACTCAAAGATTATTGTAAAAGGACCTCCGACCAAATGAGTGTGTAATGTGCATGTCAGGGAGTGGTTATGCATCTTATTATGTTAGCCAAAATATCCACCAGTACTATTGCAGAATATGATCTTCTTATTTGTACACCTACGTTTAAGCAATCTGCATCTTCAATATAGACTGTTTTAAACTTGCTATTTATTCCCAATTAAAATTGAACAAGGATTAGTACAAGTTATTACAACCTAGCATTGCTTCCCCTCGTCATACATTTACAATAACATAACAATAGGCATAAACATGAAGCAGATATAATATTTGTATAATAATAATATACAACACTTGATATACCGCCCTATCTAGCTAACATTAGCCACTCTAAAGCGCTTTACAGTACATAGATATACAGTTAATACAATTAGCATGTACATTAACTAATTCATTTTTTTGAGGAATTCGCAGGAGCTGCCTTATCAGGCGCTAACTACTAGTCCTATGCCACCTGGCTAATATCTCCCTATTTGTGTATGCCTGCGTGTGTGCTCGAGATGTATTGTGTTCTGTTTTGTAGTGGAACCGTGCTTCCAACGGCATCTTTTATAGTGCTACCTCACTTGCATGCTACAGCACAGATACCACAACATCCATCCCAGACCATTTTATACTCCACCTGGGTTGTTGGAGTTGTGTAAGCAGGAGAAAAACACTTTCTCTGATATTCCATGCGTACGACGACTCCGAGGATCAAACCCCGGCCGTCTGCGTGGAAGGCCGAAATGTTAACCACTAGACCAATCCGCCATAAACACAATAAAAAACACCATTCAAAATATATTGATGGATTTGCTAAAATGATGGACATGTCTAAAACGTAAGTATTAAGGTGCTCTGGTAGGTCTGAACTGCCAAACAAAAGAAGCTGTAAATTTAACTCTATACATTATTTAGCTAAGGCATTCAAATTTTGAAACATTGCCAAAAAGGTGACACTCAAAGAAAAGGTAAAAGCCAATCTGACAAGATTCACTCTATAATGGTCATATTTAAGGGAACAGCACTAGTTCAACTTCCGTTCTCCAAAACTGAAGTAGATATGTGGGGTTGTTGTAAATTTAATGCAAGATAGATTTTGAATAATTAATGGAAGGCAACGATCGTACTGATAGATCTAACGAATTCCAGCTACGAAGAGTGGGAGGTATCTATTTTGGTCGCTTTCGTGTTCCGACTTCACTCCAAAGCCCTCTTGTTCAAACATGTGTTGATCATCGCCGCAATCTGTTGGACTTTGAGTTTCTATTCAGATTGACCTTCATCTAAAGTTTTTAATCATAATTACGGTTGACATTTAAGGCTCTTTGCACAAACGTCATGTTCATACCAACCTGTATTTATTCATTTATGTGCACATTGAGATGCTTATCTTCTTGCTTAATATATAATGGTGATTATACGCCTTTTTTGCTTAACAGTTA